GGCAATTAACAGTTATATAATCACCACCACAATCAAGGTGGTGATTGTGACAGACCCTTCACCCCAAAAATTTCTTCTAGTCACCCTCACCCCTACCCCACCCTGGCAACCACCAAGTAGACTTTCGTTGCTATAGTTTTGCCTATTCCAGATTGTCTGAGTATTGTCCATTTTAAAAAATCAGTTTCTTTTTTTGTTAACCTTTGCCTTTTAAATCAGAAGGTCCATCATGTACTCTGACATTTATGAAGGCAAACAATAAGAGCCAGATTATAGGGAGAAAAAAGTGATCTCAAAAAGGAGGAAGCACATAGGATTATCTCCAGAGCAGGACAATCCTATGAAAAGAAGCAGCAGGGACTTGGACCCAAGATGAGTCAAGTAAAGGAGAATTTGGAAGGTGGGGAAAGAATAGGGGTATATTTGGTCAAAATCTGCTCTTTTAAGATTTTGATGGTATTCTAAAGAAATCTAAGGAAGTAATTTTTTATGGTTTCCTTAGCATTTTACTACAACTTTGTGAGGCAGACAAGGCAAATCCTATCATGCCCATCTTTTCATTAAATTTATTGGGGTGACATTGGTTCACAAAATTATATAACTTTCAAGGGTACAGTTCTATAACACATCATATGTATATTGCATTATGCACTCACTGCCCAAAGTCTAGTCTCCTTCCATCACCACGTATTTGACCCCTTTACCCTCTTCATTCTCCCACACGCCCCTTCCCCCTGATAACTACCCTTCTGTTGTCTGTGTCCCTGAGTTTTTGTTTTTGTTTGTTTTGTTTGTTTTTATTTTATATCCCACATATGAGTGGAATCCTATGGTTCTTGCCCTTTTCCATCGGACTTACTTTGCTCAGCATCATATGCTCAAGGCCCGTCCGTGTTGTTGCCAATGGCAGCGTTTCACCCTTTCTCATGGCTGCGTAGTCCTCCACGGTGCCCATGCGCCACGTCTTCTTTACCCAGGCCTCTACTGCAGGTCACTTTGGCTGTTTCCATGTCTTAGCTACTGTGAAGAATGCTGCAATGAACATAAGGGTGCATATATCTTTCCAAATAAATGTTTTCAAAGTTTTCAGGTAGATACCCAGGAGAGGGATTGCTGAGTCATAGGGTAGTAATTTTTTAAAGAGTGTTCATGCAAAAAAGATTGATAAAGGAAAAGAGTGGCACTGACATAAATGTCTAAAGTAGTGAAGTTATATGATTTTAATTGCCCTTGGCCAATGGAAAACAAGAATGGAAGATCGAAATACTTAAGTGATCCATTTGCCTTACCGGAAGGCCCAGTGATCCCCCAGAGTTTTATACAAAGGTTTTGCAGGAGTTTAAAAATAGAGAAAAGTTAGGAAGTGGGGAGAAAATGACACTAAATAATTGTCAAGAGAGAGTGCCATAGATTATTATGCAGTCATTAAAAATGACCTTTATGGCTCTGACTGGTGTGGGCCAGTGGTCAGAGCGCCTGCCCATGCACCACAGGGCAGCCCGTTCAATTCCCAGTCAATGGCATGTACCTGGGTCACAGGTTTGATCCCCAGCCCCGGTTGCGGCATGTTCAGGAGGCAACCAATCAATGCATCTCTCTCATATCTCTCCCTCTCCCTCCCTCCCTTCCTCTCTCTGAAAAATGGAAAAAACATCCTCAGGTGAGGGTTAACAACAACAACAACGAAAAGACCTTTACGGAGTTTTCTAAACTATTACTTTCTTGGTTTGGGGTTTTTGTTTTTAAATAGCTTTGGGGTAAACAGAGTTTTCATGATCCCCACAAATAATCATTTCCCTTCTGTTTCCTAGCAGAGGCTTATCCTCCTCATTTAAAAAGTAGTTTTCTTTAAGATGGTTAGAAACTAGCCTGACTGGCGTGGCTCAGTGATTGCGCTTCGACCCATGGACCTAGAGGTCACAGTTCGATTCCTGGTCGGGGCACATGCCCGGGTTGCAGGCTCGGTCCCCAGTAGGGGGCGTGCAGGAGGCAGCCAGTCACGATTCTCTCCCATCATTGGTGCTTCTATCTCTCTCTCCCTTCCTCTCTTTCAAATCAATAAAAACATATTTTTTTAAAAAATAAATAAAATGGTTATGTGGGTGAAGCTTTGAAGAGTTACCCTTTCCTCTCTGGGACAGGGTTCTGGGTGATTCTGTCAGGGTTTGTTTCCACATGGCACCCTGCCCCCTGCCCTCTGTTCGGAGCCAGATTTAGTACCCGATGGCAGCAGTGACCTCCTGGCACCTCTCTCTCTCATCTTAAGCTTCTCTTCTTCTCTTCTTCTTTTTATCTTTAATAAACAGTTTAGTTAATATGTGTTGTATTATTACCTCAAATCCATCTTATTAGTAGAAATTGGTGAGAGGTAGAAAATTTAAGAAAATAGACACAGTCTATCGAAACACCTGGTCTTATACAGCCCCCAAGCTCTCCTCCATTCTGAGTTCTGGTCTCACCTCCTGGTGGTGTGGGTTCTTACCTCCTGGTGAAGTTCTGGGTTCTCACCTCCTGGAAAAGTTTCTTTTCACTGTGGGTCTGTGGCCCATGACACCCTAACTTCTCCCCAGGCTCCCTCTCATGGGCTTTCCCTGAGGCCCTTCTAAGACATACACCCTCTCCAGCAGACAGGATTTGGCTCACCAGAGGTTTCCCAATTTCCCAGGAAAAACCCTGCCCTCCTGGGGCCAGGGGCTGCTGTCACAGGACTTCGAACTGCTGTGTCTGGATGGCAGCCGGGCTGACGTCACTGAATGGAGACAGTGTCACCTAGCCCGGGTGCCAGCTCATGCTGTGGTGGTCCGGGCTGACACAGATGGGGGCCTCATCTTCCGGCTGCTCAACGAAGGCCAGGTGAGTTGAAGGCACCCACACAGCTTCCTGAGGGGTGCGGGCCCTTCTTGTTTCTCACCAGGGTGGGAGCTCAGGGCTAGAAACATCCTGAAGCTGGGTGAATAATGTTTTGCTAAAACCACTGCTGACAAGAGCAGCAAAGTTACTAACTGCTGGGCACAGCAGTTTTAGTTTTGCCCCATTCATGCCACCACTGCCCCACCCCATTGCTTGTTCTTGGGCCCTGAGTCCTCTGTCCAGTCAGCTGAGTGTGACAAAGCGGAACGCACTGGGAAGCTCAGAGGAAGGAGAGAGGTGGCTCTTCACCCAGCCCTCAGAGTGGGCGCCCGCCCTGAGGGCACGGGAAGAAGGTGGTGGCACCTGCAAGAGGAGAAAGGGGGGATGCACCCCTGCAGCACCTCACCAGCCCCGCCCCGCCCCTTGACACACAGCGTCTGTTCAGCCATGAGAACAGTAGCTTCCAGATGTTCAGCTCGGAGGCCTATGGCCAGAAGAACCTGCTATTCAAAGACGCCACCTCCGAGCTGGTGCCCATCGCCACACAGACCTACGAGGCATGGCTGGGACCTGAGTACCTGCGTGCCATGAAGGGTCTCCTCTGTGACTCCAACCGTAAGTCCACCTGTCTCTCCACCCACCGGCTCAGCCCAGCCTGACTGCAAGGGTGGCAGGACTTTCGGGAAAGGTGGCCAGGGAGGACACCACTCCAGGAGGGGAACCTGTCACTTCCACTGCCCTGCCTCCGGAGGTTTGGGGAAAAAACATCTCTAGAGTTGCATGGGCTGCAGTTCCCTGGAAGCCCTGCCTCTCCAGGGGGTGGGATCAAGGCCACCAGGGTCTGTGCTGGGAAGGGTCTCCTCACCCCTCCACACTGAAGTCATCGAGTCCTGGCCTCCCTCCACAGTGCCTCCCTCTTCCTCCCCACACATAGCCACAGCCCTGGCTCAAGTATTGCCTTGAGCCTGGTCTACTGCAGTGGTCTACACATGGGCTTTCTGTCTCCAGCCCCATCCCCACATCTCCTTCACATACAGCCAGGGAAATGGTGGGCCACTGAGTTAGATACATGGCAACCATGATCTTCCTCAAGCCTCCTCACGGCTCCAAGAAAAAGGTAGTTATCCCGTTTCTGTATGAGGACACAGGATCAGATGGTTAAATAACTTACCCCTCATTGCTAATGAGGGAAAGAGCCAAAATGTCCTTGGATCTGACTCCAAGCTCTTCCTACTGAGGTGCGAGCCCTCATGGCCCCCACTGCACAGGCCTTGTTCAGGGCGCCCCTGAAGCAGGCAAGTATGCAGTGACCATGAGCTCACACTCACACAGGGCTGCCCCACTACCTGCACTGGTGTGTGCTGTCCACTCCTGAGATCCAGAAGTGTGGGGACATGGCTGTGGCCTTCAGTCGGCAGAGGCTCAGGCCGGAGATCCAGTGTGTGTCGGCTGAGTCCCCCAAGCACTGCATGGAAGGAATCCAGGTGGGGGCCATGACCAGAGGGACAGAATGGGCCCTGTGGGCGAGCTGGGGCAGTGCCTGGAATGGTCCTTACCCGCCCCCTCTGCCCCCACAGGGCAGCCTGGGGCGGAGAAGGTCCACTGTGATAACTCCACGGGGAAAGGGGAAGAGGAGGACCCACAGGGACCAGCCACCCCAGGGAACAGGGCAGGGGGCTGTTTCCCCTGGGGGATCCCAAAGACTCCTCCTCACTGAGCAGGTGGCCGGGAGCAGGAATGTGAGGCTGGCCCAGCTCGGCCCTGGCTGACCTGTGGCCTTGGGCAAGTCCTTCGCCTTTCTGTGTCTCAGCTTCCCCTTGTGCACAATAGGGTGGGAGGACTTGGATCGTTGTTAAACATTTTGACAGCAACACGCAGTCAAAAATACATTTTACATCAATCACAGTCTAGTACACAAAACTTTACTTTCAAATATATAGGTTTAAAAATCCTTGGCCCTGGCTGGATAACTCAGTTGAATGTCATTCCGATAGGCCAAGGTTGTGGGTTTGATTTCCAGTCAGAGCACGTACGAGAATCAACCAATGACTGCATGAGTGAGTGGAACAACAAATCCACTTTTCTCTTTCCCTCTAAAATCAATCAATCAATCAATCAATCAATAATTCTTTATACAGAGAGATATGAGACAAAACAGTATTTCTCCTTACTAAGTATAATGTATGCTGATAGTTTCTGTTCTCTTATATTCTACTTTCTTTTTTAACGTTTGTCGTGGCCCACTACATTAACTTGGCATTCACTAATATGGCTGCCACCCACAGTAAAAAGCATTGATCCTGGTCCCAGAGGTCTGTTCAGCTCTGTCCTGCTTCTCTGATGGAGGCCAGGTGGTGGCCCGAGGCCCTGCAGTTAGGGATGAGATCCTACCATGGCCACAGGTGTCCCAGCAGCTCCTGGGTTCCTGGAATCCTCCCCTCCTGCTTTTTAAGAGCATGTAGGTGGGACCTGATGGTGAGGAGCTCTTTTCAGGATAGTACCCAAGTGCAGGCTGGACCACAGCCTCTCAGGAGTGTCCGCCTGCCTCCTGAGATAGGGAGGCCCTGGAGCCTCCTTCACAGGCCTGCAGATGCTTCCTTTTAGGACCTGGCTCATTCATCCATTTGCACAGACATTTGACAAATATGTCTTGCACCCGTACTGTGCGCTCGCCCTTGGCCAGGTGCTAGGCATACAGTACAGTGGCCCAGGCCTCTGAAGGCTGGCATTCTATGGGGAGAACCCATACCAAGCAAAAGGGCAGGGATCATGCTAGGTTCTGCTCAGGAGACCTTCACAACTATGAGACCCTTTCCTGGCAGCAGGATACTTTCAGAAAACATTTGCTGAAAAAATGAAACAAACCCCATGAACGGGAGTGCTGCTGCCAGTTGGTTTCGGGCCTCTGGTCCTCCAGGCGCCCCTCTTGCCCACACATCTTCACAACGAGAGGAAGGGGCTGGTGGGACAGGATGGGGTCACCAGGGGAAGGGAACCTGACGCCAAAGTCCCCAAGAGACCTGGCCTTGGTACTCCCTCTATCACATTCCCACAGCCAGAGCCATCCTGGAGCCCACCCCAGCCTGGCCTCTCTTTCTGTCCACCCACAGGCAGGGCAAATTGACGCTGTGACTCTGAGGGGCGAGGACATTTACACAGCAGGGAAGATGTACGGCCTGGTTCCTGCGGCTGGAGAGCAATATGCCCGTGAGTGCGGGGACCAGGCTGCTGGCTTTGGCTGGGAGGTGGTTGATATTTTTTTTATATATTTAGAAACTCCCCACCTTGGCTGTTTTCAAAAGCTCCAGCTCTCCCTCAGTGCCTCCGTCCTGGGCTGGCTGCTGGCTGTCACAGGCAGGCACCTCCCGCCCCAGGCGTCTGTGTTCCCATCCAGTGACTGCAAGTCTGGCCAGAGTCAGCAAACTTCTGCTACATACACTTCCTCTTCTTCCTTTTTAATCCTTACCCGAGGATATTTTTTCCATTGCTTTTCAGAGAGAGTGGGGGTTGGGGTAGAAACATCAATGTGAGAGAGACGCATCGATTGATTGCCTCCCACATGGCCCCGACTGGGGCCAGGGATGGAGCCTACAACCAAGGTATGTGCCCTTCACGGGAATCCAACCAGGGCCCCTCAGCCTTCGGGCAGACACTCTAACCACTGAGCCAGAGGGGCCAGGGCTCTCTTCTTCTTTTTTAAACAACCCTTTAAAAATATAAAAGCCAGGTCGTACAAAACAGGCTGAGTAGTTTACCGACCCTGAGCTAGAGGCCTCCTGGGCCTCGTCCAGCCTCACCATGCAGCTCATGGAGGAGGCCCACCTTCCTGCCAGCTCATTCGCACCTTCCAGGGGCCTGGGCTGAGGCCTTGGTGCTCTGTCCTCTTAAGTGGTGACCACTGGTCCCTTCCACCTGGATGTGAAAATTCTCTGGGCTTAGAAAAATGCTTCTGCAGCCTCAGCTGTGCTTCCACCTTTCTCCCAGGAGGTGACAAAAATGCCACCTGGGTGTAAAGAAAGAAAGAAATCCTTCTGGGTGAGGACTATTGAAGGGAGAGGAGGTAGAAGAAAGAACTGAGCTGCTTCTCAGCATGAGGGGACAGGCAGGGGTCCCACTGCCGAATGTGCTCCCTGCACATCCACCAGCCAGCCCTCAGGCTTGGGCAGGCACGAGCCTGTGCACCCAGGGCCTGGACGCCAGGTGGGGAGAGCGGGGGCGGGACCTCTGCTCTGAGGTGCAGAGCAGCGGGAGGGAGGGGTGAGAGAAGAAGGGCCCCCTGGGATGTGCCCTTGTCCTTAGCCCAGCTGAGGCCAAGAAAGCACCAAGAGGCTTCACTGCCGTCTCTTCCCCCAGCGGAAGACAGGAGCAACTCATACTTCGTGGTGGCCGTGGTGAAGCGGAACAGCTCCTACGCCTTCTCCCTGAACGAGCTGCGGGGCAAGCGCTCCTGCCACTCTGCCTTGGGCAGCCCTGCTGGCTGGGACATCCCTGTGGGCGCCCTGGTGCAAAGGGGCTTCATCCAGCCCAAGGACTGTGACGTCCTCACAGGTGCCACCCTCCACGGGAACACAGACACACTAAATCCTCTTTGGGGTTGGCTGGGGTTGAGGACCCTCTCCCAGCAGGACCCCACAGAAGGCAGCCCTGGAGAAATATTCTTGGCCACATTGGTGACAGTCAGGGGTATCTGGTGGTTCTGTGGAGGGTGTCAGGGTGCCACCACCCACTTACTGACTCAGAGTGGAACTGGCTCCAGTGGGCAAGGGGAAAGGGATGTGCACGGGTTCTCAGCCCGTATTGCCACCATCCAGTCATGGGGCTGCCCCCACCCCCAAGCAGCCCTGGCGGCTGGGGACCTGTTGGAAAGTGGCTATCCATCTGCAAAAGTGCTGAAGAAGACACATTTACCAAGCACCCACCACATGCTATCTGTGGGTCTTCCCCATGTGTTAAATCATGCACCTTCCTGGTGAAAGGAGGGCAGGAGGAAGCTGGCAAGATCCTTCAGCTGATGCACACACATCTCTATCCTGGCTGGCACCTCAGTAAAAACAACACTTTTCTTTCTGACCACCTGCACAAGCACACAGGGCACTGGGATTGGCTGCTTCCACTCCCACACAGCTGGGCAGGTGCTCTGACTGGAACAAAACAGCCTATGAGGTAGTGAGTTCCCCATCTCTAAGGGAGTTCCAGGGAAGACTGAGTGACCACTTAGTAGGTTATCCATGGGATTCCTACATCTAGACAACCTCTGTGTTCTCCCATCCCTGTCATTCTCACAGGATGAGATTTGCCACTCTGAGCTGGGTAGCTAGTGGAGCAGATGGGTGGCCTTGAAACAAGGCCAGGCGGGTTGGGCAGACCTGTGGGGGAGCAGCCCTCCCATCTCCTTCCTGCGTCAGCCGCTTAACACAGCCCTTTCCCTGCGCCCCAGCGGTGAGCGAGTTCTTCAGCGCCAGCTGCGTGCCCGTGAACAACCCCAAGCTCTACCCGTCTTCGCTGTGTGCGCTCTGCGCGGGGGACGAGCAGGGCCACAACAAGTGCGTGGGCAACAGCCAGGAGCGGTACTTCGGCTACAGTGGTGCCTTCAGGTACTCTGGGGGGCCTGGCATGTGGGCCTGGGGCCAGGCACAGAGGTTGGGACCCTCCTGCTGACACCTGCTTTGGCCTCTTGTATGGCAGGTGCCTGGCTGAGAATGCGGGGGACGTTGCCTTTGTCAAGCACTCGACGGTCTTTGAAAACACAAATGGTACATGGGGGGGGCTGGGGCCAGAGCAAGGTCAGATTCGGGGGGGCGGTGCTGCTCCCCATCCCCAACACAATCCAGGCAAGGAGTGTTGCTGGGACTGGGGACCAAGCAACAACGGGAAAGACTGAGTGTAAAAGTCTCTGCCCCTTGGGGATCCCGGGGCCCCAAGAGCCTCATGGTAAGATCAGACCTCTGGCCGCACATCCAGGAACACAGGACATGCAACACTGTTTACTGTTCTGGAGTCCAAATCCATATTCTACCAAAATGGTAGCCACTCAATCTCAATCAATGTGGAGACACTCTGGGATATTTGTGTGGTGTGGGGTGGTGACAGGGGCCTCTCTCCATGAGGCCGTCACTTCGCAGCAGCATCTGGTCTTCAATCCTGAGCAGGTCAATGGCAGGTTCGGGGAGATCATTCTGCAGCCCTCAGGCCACAAGAGGGAGGGCACACCTCCACTCCTGTCACATGGGTGTGTTTTTCTCTGGGGCCACCTTCCTGGGCTCCTTCTGGGAAAAAGAGCTCAAAACTCTGTGCTCCAGGACCCCTAAGCCCACACCTGGGGTCCCGTCAGGGTGCAGGGCCTCTTAGCATGCACCACTTCCCTCCTCTTCCTGTTCTTCCTCCAGCAGAGAATTTATTCATTCTGGAGACTGGAGGCCGTTTGCCTCCAACACCTAGCATCTGCATTTTCTATATATCCTGCCTACACCCAGGCTTTGAACCCCCAAACACTAGAGGCACAGTCTTTTTCACTCTGTCCTAACACATCTCTGCCTAGAAACTCTGTGTAGAAAAAGGCATAACATGGCCCGAAGGGTAAGCGGAGGTTGATGAAGGGAAAGCAAGACATGTAGGGAAAAACATCCGGTGGTATTTCAAAACGCAGGTCCCACCCTGCCTATGAAGGTCACCACAGCTGCAGACCAGCTGCCCAACCTAGCTGGGAAGGGCTCCAGGCCCTGTGGCCACAACTCCTCTCCCCTGTGGACCTCCCACCAAGAGCCCTGGGGATCATCCCCAGGAGGAAGGAGCGGAGCTTTCCTGAAGGGGCCTGTGAGCCCTGCCTGGCCCTGGCTCCGTGTCCTCTGTGGTCAAGGAGACCTCTCGAGAATCATCTACAGTGAACACACACTGTCCAGAGTTGCTCATTTCCTTTTATTTTATTTTATTTTATTTTAATATGTTTTCATTGTTTTAGAGAGAGGAGAAAGGAGAGAGAGAGAGAGAGAGAAACATCGATGAAAGAGAATCATCGTCTATCCAATGCCTCCTCCAGCCCCCTGCTGGGGATCGAGCAGCAACCCAGGCATGTGCTCTGACTGGGAATCAACTGGTGACCTCTTGGTGCATGAATCTATGCTCAAGCACTGAGCCACACTGGCTGGGCTCATTACCCCTTATTTTTATCTCCACTCATGGGCCCACCTGAAGTTCCTTCTGGAAATAGGAAGAGGGTGGGTACTAAGTGAATACATGAAGACATAGAAATAATGTAACTCTCAAGGGCAATGTTTCTCAGGAAGTCCTTGGGCCAACCTGCTTCAGAACCACTAGGGTGCTGGGTTAAAACACAGGTTCCTGGGCCCCACCCTAGACCTACCAAATGAGATTGCAAGCAGGGCTCTTGGAACTGCCTCTCATGGGTCCACACATGATGCTATATCCCAGCTGGTATGTGAACTTCAGCTGCTGGGGAGGAGGTCAACCACCACCTTTAGGAACCCATCCCACCCTCAGGCCTGAGACCTGTAACACACAGATGGAATACTTTGCCTTAAGAGCCTCAGTTTCTTCACCTATAAAATGGGAGGTGATCATACCTGCCCTGTGTTACTGTTGTGAGTATGGAGCTGTGCTTGAAAAATGCCTGTCACATAGTAGGTACTCTATTCCCTATGAACTGTAGCTCCTGCCAACACTGGACCAGCTGGGCTCTCTCATCCAGCAATAGAGCAGAGCAGCTGGAGAATGGAGAGTTCTGGGAAGCTGGGCAGACATTGCCACCTCTCCCCAGTCAAGAATTTGGGGATCCAGGAGCAGAACAGCCTCTCTCTCTTCCTCCTCTCAGGCCACAATTCTGAGCCCTGGGCTGCTGCACTCAGGTCGGAGGACTACGAGCTGCTGTGTCCCAATGGGGCCCGGGCCGAGGTGTTTCAGTTCGAAGACTGCAACCTGGCACAGATACCCTCCCATGCCGTCATGGTCCGGCCGGACACCAACATCTTTGCCGTGTATGGACTGCTGGATAAGGCCCAGGTGAGTCAGGGCAGGGTTCTGCATCATTATGGGGGTGGATGACAGAGGTGAGCCAAGCCCCCGGGACATCTCAGTCTACCTGGAACAGACCAGAAGAAGCCGAGGGTGCCTGGGGGGAAATTGCTGTGATTTTTCACTTAGCCAAGGACATCCCTCCAGCCTCTCCCCACTCTGTCTCCTGCATTATTAATTTTCCCTTCTCAGCTGGACCACTCTAAGGATGGTCTTTTTAGCATCTTAAAAACAAAACAAAACGAAAAGCCTCTCTTGGTCTCACATCCTTTTGTAGCCATAATCCCACTGCCCTTTACAACAAAACTCCTTCAAAGAGTCATCTCTGCTCTGGAGCCACCAATCCTCTCCTTCTGGTCTCTCTTAAGGACGGAGACTACTCTAGACCAGCCCCCACCAGGGCCCTGAACTGCCCCCTGGTCAAGGGCACAGTGCCCATGTTGCTAAATTCAGTGGCTGTTTCCCAGTCCGCATCTACCTGACCTCTTAGCGGAACTGGCCACCGCTCCCTCCTCCTGAAGTTCAGCTCCCTCCTCCTGGAAGCACTCTCCCGCTTGGCCCCTGGTCCACAACTGCCTGCCTTTCTGGCCACTCTTCCCAGTCTCTGGTTCCTCCTCATTTCCCAGGCCTGTAACTGCTGGAGTGCCCCAGAGTTCAATCCTAAACCCTCTCTTCTGCTGCACCTGCACCCATGGATCTCATCCAGCCCTATGCCATTAACTTCCATCAATACACTGATGGCTCCTAAATGTACATCTTCAGTTTTGAGCCATCCGCCCTTCAGCCTCAGACTTGCATCTTACAACTGCGTGCTTGACATTTCAACTGGTATTTCTAACGGGCATCTCACACTGAGCAGTTCCAAGGTTGGACACTCTTCTTGCCTCAGTCTTCCCCATGCCAGCCTTTCCATTTCCTCCGGAGTCCTCTTGGACTCCAGCCCTCCTCTCATGCTCTACATCCAACCCATCAGTAAATCCTGTTGGCTGCACTTTCAGAATACATCTAGAACTTAATCCAGGCTGTCTGACAAGAGGGTCCTGCTTCCTAACCCACCCCCTCTCCCTTACTCCCCCTCTTCTCTCTAAACCCTCTGACATGACGTGGGGGAAGGACTCTGTGTGGATGTGCATTTTTCTGGGGACAAGGCTGATAGCTTTCATCAGACCCTCAAGAGGATCTGTGAGTCCCCCTCAAAAATCGATAGCCACTTCCCTTCTTACTACAGTAGCTTCATCGCATCTTACTCCGAATCCCCTTTGGTGACAGAGGTTGAGGAGTTGTCCAGCTTGTGATTTCAAGTCAGAGTCCTGGTGCCCTGACATTCCCTGCTCTCTGGTTCACCGCATGTAAAGCAGTGACTAGCAGGCGGCACCTGGGTGAGCCCAGCTACAAAGCAGTTCTGCTTGTGGTGTTTCCAGGACCTGTTTGGAGATGACCACAATAAGAATGGGTTCAAAATGTTCGACTCCTCCGACTATCATGGCCAAGATCTGCTTTTCAAGGATGCCACGATCCGGGCAGAGCCTGTGAGGGAGAAAACCACGTACCTTGACTGGCTGGGCCCCGACTACGTGGCGGCTCTGGAAGGGATGCTGTCTCAGCAGTGCTCCCGCGCAGGTAGGCCGGGCCTGCTGGGGCACAGCTGTGAAAGCCCTGGATGGGCAGGCTCCCAGCCCACAAGGAAGAGCGGGTGTCCTGCCACATTTCCCTGCATCATTCTGAGCCTTTCAGCTGAAAACCTTAAGTGAACCCAAGGGCACTCTAGGTCGTTACAAATGATCAAGGTGAAGTGTCCCAGGAGGGTCTGAACAGGAGGCTGCAGATAGAGCAGAAATGCTGGCTGTGTAACCCACGCAGACCTGGGTAATGAACAGAAATGCTAAAAATAATCTTGCAGAAAAGATGAGGCAACTACATAAATATACATGTAGTATAATTTTGAAAGGAATGAATATGTGAAGAAAAAAAAACCCAAGGGAAAGAAAAATTGTAGCAGCATAGAAAGAGGCAGCCTGGGTGAGATGGGTGACAGAAATGTCCTCCATCAAGTCCTGCCGAGGTGCCTCAGGGACTAATGCCTGTGTTTCATCCCCAGCAGTCACTGCCTCCAGGGCCTCCCTGCTCTTGCTGTTGCTCCCACTGGCCCTCGCTGCCGGCCACCTCCAGCTCTCCCTCTGAAGCAGCTCTGGGCAAGCCTCCCCCTCCCTTGGAATGGAAACCTACTCAGAAATCTCTATAAATAAGGTGGTTCTCAGTAAATCCAGCTAACACTCGGAGAGAAATGTGATGGGAGGGGAAATGTGAGACACCACGGAGCTCTTCAGAGCTGTGATCCCAACACTGAAGTTTCTGTGATTGCGTCAAAGTGGAATAAAGATGGATGTTAAAGAAAAGTCCCCCAACCTCGAGTTCTCAAGTTGGACCTGAGCAGGTCTCTCCTGCTGAAACCCAGCCTCTGCCTCCCAGGCACCACCTGTCCCTCTGCTACCTGAGGCAGCTGGCCCGCTTCCCAGTCACGGCTCACCCACAGGCTGGCACTGCCTCCCTGCAAACCTGCAGGCTCCCGCTGCATGGGGCCTCCCTCACCAGGCTTGGGCTTGGAAAAGGCCAGTTACCAAGGAAACAGGCTCAGCCAGACTTCCCACACGGCCCCCTCTGCTGGAGCCACCCGGGGGGCCTGGTGAGATGACAGGGCCTGCCAGCCCCGCCCCTGCGGTTCCCACTCTCCCCCTCTGAAGAACGGACACCGAACCTCGCGTCAGCCCCCGCTCCATCTGTCCCCGCTCCACCTCTGTTCCAGCCTCCCTCCTGAGGACACTGTGTCTGTCCACCAAGGCATCTACCAGATGAGGCCACAGCCAAGCCCTCCAAGGAGGCCAAGCCGCTGGGCACAGGCAGCCGTCATTCTTGTCTTCGGCGGCTTAGTGCGGCCCAGACCATTGGATCCCGTTGTGCTAGGCTGGCTGGGGCAGGGAAGCCAGGGCTGGACCATGGGGATGAAACCCTCCAGGGCCCCTCAGACAAAGGAAATGCTCCCTAGTAGTTATTTTTCAGGGGTAGAGGGCTTGATGCAGGGTTGGGTCTGTTGTAAGGGGGCTAGGCCTCAGAATTAGACATGCCGTTTCCCTGCCAGTCAGTGAATTCGGCTGCACCAGGCTCTGTGCCGGGGTGAAGCCAGTCAGCAGGAGTCCCTACTCCTACATTTCCTCCTCTTCAGCTCCGTCTCAGATTATCCCCTTGTCCCACCCCCAGTGGGATGCCACCACCCCGCAGCCACTCCTGTGCACCTGGCAGCAGCCGCCTCCAGACTGAAGGGCTCAGCCCCAGGGACCACGCAGGGAGCCCTAGGCCCTGGAGCAGGAGGCAGCCAGCCTCTGGGGCAGCCGAGGACCTCTGAAGAGCTGGGAACGGGGAGATGCCATTCTGCTTCTCAGAGGAGCCACAGGCCCAGGTGAGGTACTGACGGGAGCAGTGTCCCCTCACAGTGTGACGAGGGGGTCTCCTACCCAGCCCTGTACCAGGTGGACCTGAAGCCGCTCACTCCAGAGGAAGGGCCCCTCTTCCTGTCCACTGTGAGAGTCAGCGGGAAGTGCCTGGAGAGGACCCTCTCTCTACTCCATTATTGCCACGGTTGTCTGAGAAGCCAGAAGTTTCCAGAACTTCCAGCTCTTACTCTGAATTTTGTTCCCTGAAAAAGTAAAGAGAGAGAAGAAACAGGAGCAAGCCACCCTCGTCAGCAGACCAGGAGCCGCGTGGGCCTGGAGCTATTTCCATCTCAGTGTGCGGGGGGCCTCAGGGACACTGATGACAAGCTGGGCTCCCAGTGCTTCGCCCCCACCTGTGGGCGTGGGGACAGGTCCCTTCCATCTCTCAGCAGCAAAGGCGGCCCCTGCAGCATCCTGACCATAGTCATACCATCCTGAGGGGTCTTGGTCTCCATGCTGGGCAAGCCCCCACCCCACTGAGAGCGGCCAGGAGGAGCGGCCTCTGCTCTTAAGCTTTGTACCGTCTTTGCTGGGGGAGCAAGTGATTCTTCTCTGACCTGATGACTGATTTTTTTTTTTAAGGAATATTTGTGCAGTAAGGAGTGTATTTCAGTGTGGCTACCCTGGGTCACTATGGGTGACACCTGTACTGTGAGCCACCCAAGGTGTGACCTGTGTGAGTGCAGTGTGACGTTTGATCACCAGGTGATGGCAGGGGGGCCTCCACTGTGTTAGCGCTCATAGAAGATGGTTTGTTTTTTTCAATAAAGCCAAACAACCCTGCACCTGCTGAGGCTTGGGTTCTGATAGAAACTGTGCTGCTGACTGGTTTTGTCTTCTGAGACGGTCAGAGGCCAACCTGCACCAGGTGACTCCCTGCCCAGAATGGCAGTGTCCTCTCAGAACCCTGTTCCCTGAGAACCAGTCAGGGACCAGTCTGGGCCTCCAGCCCATGAGGCCCAACTCCCCTTTCCAATATGGACTGGATCTCTGGCCCCATATCCTGGCACATCCCAGCTGCCTCAACTCCCTCAGCCTCTTGGGGATGAAACAGAGGAAGATGTTCACTTCTCCACTGCCCCTTGCCGGTGTCTCCAAAATCAGCCGCCCACACCTTTCCTTTGGCAAGTTAGCTGCTGACTCATTGGAGTGGAGGAAAGGGGGTCAGATCTCTAGCAGTCCTCACAGTGGGAGCTCTCTGGCCTGGCCTGAAGTTTGATAGCCAGGCTGGTCTTGGTCAGGGCCCAGCTCTTGCTTGAGGAATAGAGGTTCTCTGTGCTCCCCTCTCCCACATCTCTTGCCCTTCACTCTGTCCCTAGGCCACCCTCCCACCTTGACAGCAGCCACCTCACAGAGATGGGTGTCACTCCCACTGCACACAGGCCATATCCGGGCAAGTTGGCTCAATCATTGAGTCTGGGCAGCCTGGAGACCTGAAGGCAGAAGTTGTTGACTGTGTCTCCACACCATGTGGCTCAGTTTCAGCCAATCGCTCTGCTCTCCTGGTGCTGCCCCTGTGCCCCTGGAGCTTTGGGAGGATTACTTAACATCTGAGCCCCAACTCCTCATCTGAAAAATATGCAGAAGAGTAACACCCACCTTGCGAAGTTGTAAAGATCAGATTGTATTACATGTAAAACTTGGCACCAGGCTTGGCACATCACAGGTGCAGGAAAGACAGTCACTGTGATTTGCTATTTATTATTCCCAGAGCTTGGTTTTTGGGCTTAAGTTTTAAATTTCTGAGCAAGATCATCTGATTGGCCCACTGTGGGTCAGGTGTCCCCTGTGGGGCCAATCAGCTCAGGCCAGTGCACGGTAGAAACTTGGCCACTGAGGCCCCAAAGAAAAAGGAAATGAAACCATGTGAGCCAGGCAGCCATCCCACCTGGTGGCGACCAAGCCTGTTTTAAGTGATATTTGACATTCACTGAGCAAATATTGATACCTACTACTAGTACCCCCAGACCTGGGGCAAGAGGGACCCTGGGCCTGGGTTCTGTGCTTTAGAGCAGTGCTTTCCTAACCTCCATGTACACACAAATCCTGAGCCTTGTCAGGATGTTGATTCTGACTCAGAAGGTCTGGAGCATGGCTGCCAGTCTGCAGCTCTAACCAGCTCCCAGGTGAAGCCCAGGCTGCTGGTCCAGGGACCCTCAGCAGCCTCTGCTGGAGCCTCATGCTGACCACACCCCACCCACATCAAGAGGAGTCACGGGAAAAGGGATGTCTCTACCCAGAGCCCACACCCCATCTTGTACACCACCTTCCTAAAACTCTTATCCCAAGCAGTCCTGAGCTAACTTCTAGGGATTGGACAGGCCTCTTCTCCAGGTCCCGCCTCCCAACAGTGGTCACAGGTGACTCTTTGCAGGAGATGAACAGGCAGAGGTGTCCCCTTGACATGCACATGCTCCTCAAAGTATGGGATGGATCCTGGATGGGAAGAGAAGAGTTGGGCTATGGGGCAGGAGCCTCCTCTCTCTGCATCTCATACTCCAGGTTCATTTGCTAAAGTAGGAAGATAAAATACTTTTTGTTTACATTTATTTGATTTGTAACTGTAAATGTGCAGCCACATGGTAGGTGGGCCTCCGTTGGTACTCTTGCCCTGGGACCCACAAGTGGTTGGGGTTGGCTGGCCTATTGTGTGCACAGCTGTCCAGCTCTGACAATGTGGTTCTCAAGGCTCTAAAGACACAAAGAGTAAGTTTAAGGCCCACTGCTCTTGACCTTGGTCTCATTTGGAGAGGCCTCTGTGCAGATATGAGAGAAGAGACAGTAAGAAGGTGAGTGACACCCAACAAAGACAGGCAGGTCCTGCTCGCCCGCACATGGCAGACTCAGCGTCACCCCCACCTTTAGACTCCTCCCCAGGGCTTTCCTTACATAAGGATGGATTCCTTAGAACTACATTCTTGTGAAAGATTCATGCAATAGTTATAAATAGTACCATTTTTTTAAAAAGATATTTCAATTTGGAAAAAAATTAGATCATCCACCTAGGATTCAGGAAACTTGAATTCTAGTTCCACTTTTGCTATTCAGTTTGGGCAAATACTTTCTCCTGTCTCAATCCAGTTCCCAAATCTATGAAATTTAAACTTGGATGGTTTCTCAGTAATTTCTAGCTCTAAACAGTTATTCTTAGACTCAAAAATCTGGGTCTTCACAGGATTATTGCCTGGTCCTGTCTGTGTTGAAGCACATAGGGCCAGGTGGGCTCTTTTTCATATGTCAGCCTTTCCCAGCTGCCCTTGGGTTGGCACCCGTGACCCAGAAGCTGTTTCACAGCCTTCGAGTCCTTCTCTGTCAGTGGTCGGCAAACTTGAGGCTGCATTAGAATCACCTGGGAGGCCCTTAAAACAGAGTGCTGGGCTCCACCCCCAGAGTCTTTGATCTCAGGGGCTGTGGTGGGGCCCGAGAATGTGCATTTCTGGCAAATTCTCAGGTGATGTTGTCACTACTGATCAGGCTACCTCACTTTAAAGACCACTGTTAAACAAAGTGTGAGCTCACATCCCACGATAGCTTGACAGGTGCCTACCCCAACGAGGTGGACGGCTTGGGTGGGAAGGGTGAGTGGTCTTCAGGGAGGAGGCTGGGCCCAGCTTGGGAGAAGGGACAGGCCTGTGACCGTGGCTGCCATGCTCCCCGTGGGGAGAGGTGGGATGTGCTGGACAATACCAAAGTGCCCAGCCCAGGTGTCCCAGTAGGTGGCTGAGGTTCTGGGCAGCATTCTGACCCCACTCCCCTGCCTGGCATGTGGTGCCCTCCTCCCACTGGCCCTGTGCCCCTGCACCCCAACCCTGCTTTTCTGAGCAGGCCTTTCAGTTAGAGGGGGGGACTCAAAGATTAGCATGAGGAAGATGTGTGGTCAGAATGCCCCGCTTCCTCCTCCTAGCTTCTGATATCTGCAGAAACGCAGCTCGGCAGAAAATCCACTTTATATTCTCTACTGTGGCCAACCTTTGGGACATTGGGCGATGAAGAGAAGGACCTGGTGACTTACCAAGTAGGACATTCTTAGCCAAAATCCCAACGCAGTCAGCTTCATGGCAGACTCTGCCTGTGTGTGACCATCCAATGTCTTCCCCTTTTTTCTTTCTATCAGATCCCAGTTTGGTTCAAGATTGCCATCCTGAGCCCAGCTAAAAATATTCACTATGGGTGACCAGGCAACCCAGTTAGG